CTATTATAATCATGGGACCATATGATCTACAGTATGGTCAAAAGTTTAATTGTCACCTATGACATTGACCCTTTCCCTTGAACTTTTTTTTTCAAATTACAAAGGAAGCCATTCCAACCCCCTGCCATTTCAAAATTATAACATATCTTGAAATGGTTGAGATGCTTATGGTCCGTGTAACACTTATCAATTCAAAATTTCAAAAAGTTTTGAAATTTTAGATTTTTGGAATTTTGATCAAAGTTTTAAAATATCAAAATTCCAAATTTTTTAAAAGTTTTGAAATTTTGAAATTTTCACCAAATAATTAAAATTTTAAATTTCTAAATATCGTTTTTAAATTTGATAGTTTAGATATTTGATCAAACTTTAAAAGTACTAAACTTAACGTGCAGTTTTGATTATTTCGCTTTTTGAAAGTTTGATTTTTTAAATTTTTGATTAACATATCAAAAATAGAAAAGGGGAGAAAAGAGGGGTACCTATAAACACGGCTCTGATTATGATCATTCTTAGTTAGGAATAAAAAACACGAGGTATATCAAATCAGTGTTAATAACAAACTAAATAATTAAAAGAAGAATTCGGATTTTTATAAATCATATTAGACATCACAGTATCCTGAAAATTTTAATGTTGTGCATCTATTAAAAAAAAATTATCAACCTATTTAAGGTAGATAGGGTGTCTTCCTCCATCTTGGATTTTGTAATACCTGAAAACAATCGGTCTAGATCTTTAATAGAATGTGCAAATTTTGAGAGTAGTAGGTAATTCATGTGTAAGAATTTTCATTTCAATATAGAAAATGACATGTTTTATCATATTTATGGTTGTATTTTACAAAAAACAGAAAACTTTTGTTTGATTCAATTTTTTCCAACTTTGCCACATAAGGGGAGGCAACTCAAATGTAAGGGCAGATAATTCAGATAAAGGTACTTTTACAATAGAATGTGTTAGGAATTTACCTATTTTATTATGTAGCAAGAAAACGGGTCCGGTGACCCAATTTTTTCTTTTTCTTATCTGATAGCATACTATTAAAGCTATCTTCTCATATTTTATGTCAAAATTCTATGGTGTAGTTTTCGTTTTATGGCAAAAAATTGGGTTTTCCATGCATAATCTATACAAAATCTGTTAATTTTGAACAACCTGTAGCCTGAAAATAAGACCCGTGACCCATTCTTTTTATCATTTTTTTTAAAAAGCTTGATATAAACTACATTTTGGCAAATTATTAAAAAATTCTATGGATTATAATTTAGACACCCCATCTACCTTAAACCAGCATCAAACAAGTTGATTTACTTTTTTTTAAAAAATCTCTAATATTTTGGTGTCCCCAGGGCCCAACATATGGGAGTAACAGTGAAAACTGACCAACTCGCAGTAAGAAAAATAGTATTATTCGACTTTTGAGCGTTCCTGATGAAGGTAGATCCAAAAAAAGCGCTTCGGTCGCATGCAATTTTCAACGTTTTGTTTTCATTTTTTATCGATTGCATGACGATAATATATTGCCTTTTATGATTGATTTCAGTTCCAATAGATATAAGAAGATGTGGTATGAGTGCCATTGAGACAACTCTCCATCCAAGTCACAATTTATAAAAGTAAACCATTATAGGTCAAAGTATGGTCTTCAACATGGAGCCTTGGCTCACGCCGAACAGCAAGCTATAAAGGGCCCATGAAATTACTAGTTTTAAACCATTCAAACGGGAAAAACAACTGTCTAATCTATATAAAAAACGAGAAACGAGAAAAACTTATCTGAAACAATAGTGTAACATTACAACATAGAAATACACAAGTATTGATACAGAAGGAATACTGGATTTATGGTGTCGCAATGATCGTTGTGATAGGCGTGCTTCAGCTAACCCCTAGACAAAAATTTGTACTAGTTCAGTGATAATGGACGTCATACTAAACTTCGAAATATAACAATGAACTTAAATTAAAATCATACAAGACTAAAAAGGCAAGAGGCCCATGAATTGGGACAGGCGCACAAATGGGCGGGGTTAAACATGTTTTGTGAGATCTCAACCCTCCCCTATAACTCTAGCCAATGTAGAAAAAACAAACACACAGCAATACGCACAGTAAAACGAACTTAACAAGAAGTCCGAGTCCTACGTCAGAATAGGAAACAAAAGAAACTAATCAAAATGACAATGATATGTAAATTAACAAAGGACTACTAGCAGTTACTGACATGCCAGCTTCAGACCTCAATTAAACTAATTGAAAGATTATGTCTTCATCATATGAATATCAAGCACAATCCTTTCCTGTAGTATTTATTGCTAATCTGTTATCGTCCTGAACATGCATGAAATATATGCCACTGGCAACCAACAATCGATCATTTAAAATAGTTCGTTTACATACAAATTACAAAAAAACTTATGATTCAACTGCCTCGGGCAACGTAGCCCTTAGATGGATTTTGATATGGCCAAACACCTTTTCAATTGTTTCGGTTCTTATATTTACTCGACTTTCAAATATTCAGTTTTCAGCGTTCTGTAGGTGAATGCTTTAATTAAAATTCAGCGTTTTACATTGTCCTGGTTTTGGAGAGCAACATTGGTGTATGGCCAAAAATTAAAAATCCATCATGCAAACAGCGGGGCACTCTCTTTAAACGCCCCATTCTGACTGGACAGGTACTGTCTTCTTTTACTTTGCTGAAAGTTGATTGTCGTACGATAACTTAAAATGCACACATAACAAATACGGAACTATCCCTTAATACAAAAAAAATTTCCGTTTCCTTTTATTTGCTATTTAAAAAAGTGGCGGATTGAGGACCCCTGATCGAGCTTTTTTACAAGCATCAGTCCAAACGTTGTCTACAAAATAACCATTTAACTTCAAACGTGGGGGTAGTGTTGTTTTGTCGAGGTGAGTTTTTTTTTTGCGAAGCGCTTTTCTGGACCTACCTTTATCAGGAACGCTTAAAGCCGAATATTTGAAGGCCAACAATTTGTAAAGAACTGAAATAGTTGATTAAAAGGTTAAAGATGATCGTTCAAAATGTACAAGCAATGATTTCATCTGCCGACATGATTGCAGAAAGTAAGAAGTCGTAGAGCAAAACAGAAAAATTTGAAATCAAATTTGAGATAGCACAAGGTGTATTGAGCCATTTTATTGCTTAAAGTTCAATAGAAAATGTATATACATACTCAACCTAACCATACTATTTGACCTACTGCGAGTTGGTCAGTTTTCACTGTTACTCCTAAATGATGGGCGCTTGGCAAACCACATAGTTCTGAATTATTTATCTGAAACGCTATAAAGCTTATGTTCGAGATTTTTAAAACGTAAATCAACTTGTTTGATGCCGGTTTAAATAGGTTTACATTTTTTTTTTCAATAGATGTAAAACCTTACAATTTTCAGGATACTGTTATCTCATGTGATGTCCAATTTGTTTTTAAAAAAAAATTTCTTCTTTAGATTATTTATTTTGCACTTAAAAATGATTTGCTATATTTCGTGCTTTCTTTTCTAAGGTAAAAATCATCATAATCAGAGCCGTGCGTCTTGTTTTAAAATGAATTCTCTTCTTTTGAGAAATATTTATGTTGTTATCCAATTTTTAACCGCTTTCAACTGTCTGCCTCTGGGTTTTTTTTATACATTAACTTTTAAGTAACAGTAACTTTTCACTTCATTGTATTTCACTTCGTTCCGCTTTTATTTTGTTTCGCATTTTACAGGTATACTTCGTGCTTTTTATTCCTAGCTAAGAATGATCATAATCAGAGCCATGTTTACAGGTACCCCTCTCTTCGCCCCTTTTCTATTTTTGATATCTTAATCAAAAATTGAAAAAATCAAACTTTCAAAAAGCGAAATAATCAAAACTGCACGTTAAGTTTGGTACTTTTAAAGTTTGATCAAATATCAAAACTATCATTTTTAAAAACGATATTTAGAATTTTAAAATTTTAATTATTTGGTGAAAATTTCAAAATTTCAAAACTTTTAAATAATTTGGAATTTTGATATTTTAAAACTTTGATCAGAATTCCAAAAATCTAAAATTTGAATTGATAAGTGTTACACGGACCGCTTATCCCTGCACGTTATATTGTTCTTGTATGACATGTCAAGATGCATTGAATGATATATAGGAAACGTTTGCAAGGGCATTCCCAACTCCTTCCATGCGAGAAGTTTTGAATATGTATAATGGTAAATTGTTAGATCTCCACCTCTAAGCTAAAACTTATTATTCGTCACATCAAGTTGAATTATACACTGTATAAAGTGCGTCAAAGGGGGCGGGTCATTCCCATACTCTTTCATTTGAGTTAGAGGATGTTACAATATCTAGAAAATGGTTGAAATGTTAACCCCCTCAAACACATAATTTCTTGTTCGATACGTTACGATAAATTGTATGATATTTAGGGGGAGTTACAATGAATATGAATCAATGCCCAGCAGGCATTTCAACATTGAAACAACGTTGAATCAACGTTGATCTGTAACGTTGAAAATACGTTGAATTAACTGTTGGTTTTGAAAGGTTAAACGACGTTGAATATCTGTCGTTGAAACAACGTTATATTTTCAACATTGTATCGACATTGATTTTTGATTGAATATAGGTTGAAACTTAACATTGAAACAACATCACCCTTATATTGCAACAACATTGTTTCATGTTGAAATAAGTACCCCGGTAATTCATTGTTTGTTGTTGGTTCATCTGTCATATTTGTTTGTCGTTACAAATTTAGGCGGTTGGTTTTTCTCGTTTGAATTGTTTAAAAAAAATTGTGTCCGGGTCTTCTATCGCGGATTATACGGTGTGGTGTTTGCTTAATGTTGAAGGCCGTTTAGTGACCTCCACGTCAATTGGACTCTGGTGGATATTTGTCTCATTGGCAATCATACCACATCTCCTTATATCTATAATACTTAGTAACCACAAAAGATAATGAAGCCACGTTACTCTACAGAGGACATCAGCAAGATTTGATCTTTAAAAAAAAACAGTACAACAGATGTCAAGTTATGACAAAAGCTCATATAGCCAAAAGGTGATCTGGTAAATGAATACAAATAATCTCTTAATTCATTGTTAATATTTTCGTGAAAATGAATTGTAGTCTCCAAGCTCCTCCAACCATTTCTGGTGCATAATCCTTCTTTAATTCAGCTTCCGTTATTTTTGTGTAGGCATCCATTACTCTTCCTGAAAAAAACAACCACAAACAATATTTTGTAAACATAAGTTAACAATTACGTAGAACGTCAAAGGCAGGGAATAAAATGTTATATAAGGCCAGTGTTTTTTTTATTAATTTACTGGTTTACATAAACGCGGATCCATTTTTTCCATTTTTCGCTCCTGCACATGTATCAATGCCACTTATCTCGAGCACCAGGATCTATTGCACAAATTCCACCTATTTCGAGCACCAGGATCTATTGTGACAATGCTACCCATCTCGAGCATCAGGATCTATTGTAACAATGCCACCCATCTCGAGCACCAGGATCTATTGTTAAAATGCCACCTATCTCGAGCACCAGGATCTACTGTACAAATGCCACCTATTTCGAGCACCAGAATCTATTGTAACAATGCCACCCATCTCGAGCACCAGGATCTATTGTAACAATGCCACCCATCTCGAGCACCAGGATCTACTGTACAATGCCACCCGTCTTATTGATTGCAGACGGTTTATGTTTTAAATTTGATATGCATTAAAAAAAAATATTAATACAAATCAAATCAAATCGAATGTCTTTATTCCTAATTAAAGGGCCCATATAGAGCATATAAATCAACACAAATCACAAAGTTCATACAATATCCACACGAACAACACATACAATCTAACATACATACTGATGATTGATAATTCAAAATGTTAAAAATTAAAAAAATACATACCTTGACAGCTATTACCTCTATCCTTAAATCTTTCCTTTTCATTTTTCTCATTTAATAAAATGTTCCTAAAACTTTTACTGTTCTGTCCCTTATACCTGTACAAAAAATAAGAATAACATCGATCATCATCGCCATGCAATATTTTAAATTTGTAAAATTCGATTGAAGAATAAAAAGAAATCATTAAAAATTTCAGAGCATAGTTGACAATAATTATAATAATGTGATTATGGATGACGGGTTAAAATTTTAGATAAAAAAGAGGGAGATGATAATCTTACTTCGCAAAAAAAATCCTTTTCTTTAACAAATCAGCAGTAAAGAACTAAAATAAACTTTATGTAGGATCATGTAGGCTGAGTATGCTGTTTCCAGATTATAGTACATATTTATATAGAAGTGCAGTCATATTGGAACATGCCGCACTTTCACATGCTGTGTCTTATCTATGATTAAAATATTTCCGGATAATAACAGATTAGTTAGTAGCATATTTCGATGAATGATAATTTATAATTTTGTATACTTTTATGATTTTGATAAACGTCCCGGTTAGACGTCAGTTTGAGCTTATATTTCTTTGGAATATTCCTGATTTTACTAGATATTGTGCAAAAAAATTTAAAGGCAACATTGATTACAATTTTCGATAGCAAAATCCTTATTTATGAACTTTTGTTGATGCAACAACAAACGATGTACAACTATAATGATTCCCCTTTAACACTGATTGTGAATAATTTTTACACCAATGCATACGATCTGTTTTCTCGACGAACCTCCATCGTTGACATATCAACCAACATTAAACGTTGAAACAACATATTTACTTCAACATAACTTCAACATTAAAAATTCAACTAAAATTCAACGTCGAAACTACGGAAGCCGATAAGGGTCATTCCAAAAAAAAAATTATGTCGTAATTACGACATAACATGTCGTAATAACGACATAACATGTCGTAATAACGACATAACTATGTCGTAATTTCGACATATCATGTCGTAATAACGACATCACTATGTCGTAATTATGACATCGCTATGTCGTAATAACGACATCCTAAGTCGTTATAACGACATCGCTATATATATATATATATATATATAAAATAGTATGTATTATGATTGCCATGAGACTATATGACACAGAAATTAACAACTATAGGTCATCATAATGCCTTCAATAATGAGCAAAGCCCCCGCATAGTCAGCTATAAAAGGCCCCGAAATGACAAATGTTAAACAATTTAATTCAAACGAGAAAACTAACGATTTTATTTATGTACAAAAAATGAAAAAAAAAATAATAAATATGTTACACAGCAACAAACGACAACCACTGAATTACAGGCTTCTGATCGATATGTCATAATTACGACAACCTTAGCGTTGTCACTTTTTGAGGCGATAGAAAATTCAAAATGGTCGTAAGTGAGGGCAAAGTTTGAAGCGTAAACATATTCATCTTTTTTTGGAGAATAATGAACACTAAATGCAATCAAGCCTAATTAAAGTTATTTACTTGCACATATATATATACTAGAACTTTATTTCATAATCAAGTCAAATGAGACCCAGTTGCACAGGGGAGCGATTCGGGCTTCTTGGAGCCTCTAGTTATGTTTGGCATGTACAGATTCGTGTAAAATATGACTGCATTTCCATTGCAGATTCTGAAGAAGATGAATTTTAAGCTTTTCCAAAAAATGCTTGTTGATGTGTTACATATTTGTTTTTCGTTCATTTTTTGTACATAAATTAGGCCGTTAGTTTTCTCGTTTGAACTGTTTTACATTTCTTATTTCGGAGCCTTTTATAGCTGACTATGTGGCCTGGGCTTTGCTCATTGTTGAAGGCTGTACGGTGACCTATAGTTGTTAATTTCTGTGGCATTTGGTTTCTTGTGGCAATCATACCACATCTTCTTCTTTTATATTTAATCCTCATCATATAAGGATCATCCATTCTCTAAGATTGATCCAATATGGCCTGTAGTTCTTAATGAGAAGATTTTCAAAGCTTTTTCCATTGGAGCCTATGTTAAACTTTAGACCCCTAATAATCGAGCCTAATGGGTCCCCTGATCTTCACCTATCACCTAAGGAACTTGTGTCTCGTACTCGAAGTGGTATGCGAGAGATTGCTATCGTTTGTTGTCCGTCGTCGTCTGTCGTAAGCGTGTTTTAAAAATCTCCTTTGAAACTACTGTACAAAATTCTTTAAAAGTTAGTTTGATTTTTCCTTGTTAAATGTTTCCCTCACAAAAGGCGTGCTTTGATTTTTGACTCCTTAAAACACAGCCGCTGTTATTAACTTGAAAATATAGGACATAATGGTCACACATTAGTTTTTTGATAATGTCTCGAATATCGTTACATTTATCTCAAATCTGTTGAGGGTTCATCATGACAAAATGGACCTATGCCGAAAATTTCAGAAAGATCAGTTTGACCCATATCTAAGTTGTGTCCTCTAAAACATTTTTTGAGGATAGCTACATGTATTGTTATCACTTGAAGTCCGTCGATTGTGACCGGCAACCAACAGCATGGACACTGTTACTAAATAAAGGCAACAGTAATATACCGGTGTTCAAAGGTCATAAATCGATTGAGAGAAAACAAATCCGGGTTACAGACTAAAACCGAGGGAAACATATCAACTGTAAGAGGAAAATAAACGAACAACAGGAACACTAAAGTGAACAAAAATAAACCCTTAACATACATAGAAAGAACTATTTGATAACAACTGTCATATTCTTGAATTGGTACAGGCTATTTTAAGAACAAATGGTGGGTTGAACTTGGTTTAATGGCTAGCCAAAACTCCCGTTTTATGACAATGTTAAAAATGGCGCTGAAATGATAACACTACGTGACAGAAATACAGATCAAACACACGCAAGACCATATATCACAGAGAAACGCACACACATATAATATACTACAGTGTAGTAATAGTCACAAAACATGTAAACTGCAGAACAACAGCGAACATATTTCATCAATACGGAAGCCGATAAGGGCCATTCAAAAAACAAAAAAAAATGTCGTAATTACGACATAGCATGTCGTAATTTCGACATACCATGTCGTTATTACGACATCGCTATGTCGTAATTTCGACATAACATGTCGTTATAACGACATCACTATGTCGTAATTACGACATAGCTATGTCGTAATAACGACATCGCTATATATATATATAGGAATATGTATTATGATTGCCAAGAGACTTAATGACACATAAATTAACAACTATAGGTCATCATAATGCCCTCAAAAATGAGAAAAGCCCCCGCATAGTCAGCTATAAAAGAGGGACGAAAGATACCAGAGGGAGAGTCCCCGACATGACAGCTGTTTAATAATTTAATTCAAACGAGTGAAAAAAACGGTTTTAATAATGTACAAACAAAGACCGAAAAACTAATATGTAACACAGCAACAAATGACAACCACTGAATTACAGACTCATGACCGCTATGTGATAATAACGGCAACCTTATAGTTTTACTTTTCACTTTTTGATGCGATAGGCATTTCAAAATGGTTGTCAGTAAAGGCAAAGTTTGTAGCGGAAACAAATTCATCTTTTTTTTTAGAATAATGAACACTATATGCAATCGAGCTTAATTAAAGTTATTCACTTGCACCTCAGACTTGCACATACTAGAACTTTATTTATGATCAAGTCAAATGAGACCCAGTTGAATAGGGGAGCAATTCAAGCTCCTTGGAGCCTCTAATTATGTTTGGCATGTACAGATTTGTGTAAATTATGAAGTCCTGCATTTCCATTGCAGGTTCTGAATAAGATGAATTTTAAGCTTTTCCCAATAAAGACTATGTTAAACTTTGGACTCATAGTGCTCAGACCCACGGATCTCTGTACCTTCATTTGTACACACTTGAATCTTAATGTACAGTAACTACTGAGGCTTGATGCAAATTATTACTGCATTGCTATTGTTGGTTCTTAATGAGATTCTTCAAGCGTCCTCCCCATTAAAGCCCTATTAAAACTTTGTACCCCAAGTTCTTTTAACCACTGTTCCCCAGGGCAACTATTCCTACAAATTTAAGGGGAGGGTTAGGATCCCGCTAACATGTTTAACCCCGCCACATTCTTTATGTATGTGTATGTCCCAAGTCTTTAATTTACATATTTGTTTTTCGTTTATTTTTGTACATAAAATAGGCCGCTAGTTTTTCTCGTTTGAATTGTATTACATTTGTCATTTCAGGGCCTTTTATAGCTGACTATGCGGTATGGGCTGTGATCATTGTTGAAGGCCGTACGGTGACTTTAATTGTAAATTTCTGTGTCATTTGGTTTCTTGTTGAGAGTTGCGTTTTTGAACAAACCAGCGTATCCCAAGGCCTTGATAACCTCTGTAGGCCCAAAATAAGACGAAAAAAACATCAAAATTGGAGAGAAAACTGAAAAAAATGGTTTCTAACCTCAGGGATATTAACCCTTGGCTATCTTAGATTTAATGCAATTAGTATGCATCAGCATCAGGGTACAGCTCATTTGCATATCATTTGCATATTTTTACAAATACTCGAAATTAAGCCAATTTCTGATAACAATTCAGCATGCCAAGGGTTAATATCCCTGAGGTTAGAAACCATTTATTTTCAGTTTTCTCTTAGCAAGTCTGAGGTGCTAGTGAATAACTTTAATTAAGCTTGATTGCATAAAGTGTTCAATATTCTCAAAAAAAAAGATGAATTTGTTTACGATACAAACTTTGCCTTTACTGGCGACCATTTTGAAATTCCTATCGCTTCAAAAAGTGAAAAGTTAAACTATAAGGTTGTCGTTATTATCTAATAGCGGTCATGAGTCTTTAATTCAGTGGTTGTCATTTGTTGCTGTGTTACATATTAGTTTTTCGGTCTTTGTTTGTACATTATTAAAACCGTTTTTTTCACTCGTTTGAATTAAATTGTTAAACAGCTGTCATTTCGGGGACTCTCCCTCTGGTATCTTTCGTCCCTCTTTTATAGCTGACTATGCGGGGGCTTTTCTCATTATTGAGGGCATTATGATGACCTATAGTTGTTTATTTCTGTGTCATTTAGTCTCTTGGCAATCATAATACATATTCTTTTATATATATAGCGATGTCGTTATTACGACATAGCTATGTCGTAATTACGACATCATGTTATGTCGAAATTACGACATAGCGGTGTCGTTATAACGACATGTTATGTCGAAATTACGACATGTTATGTCGTAATTACGACATAAAATTTTTTTTTTTTTTTTTTTTGAATGGCCCTTATCGGCTTCAGTACGAAACAGCTGACTTTCTGTAACATAACTTCGAAGCAACGTCATGACAAAATATCAACCACATTTCGACGTTGAAATGACGTTGCGTGCCGGTTGGGTGGTGACCTTGTTTTTTGGAGACCTCTTGCCAGCATTATATTACAATCATTACTTATTTGTAAAGTTTATTTTTAAATAACATAAACCTCATTTTTTTTTTTAATTTTGTCTGAATGCAATTGTATGTGCGGTTTATGTCAATGAGACAATATCCTACAACAGAAAAATAAAAACACATCTATAGGTTAACATAGGTCTTAAATCTTTGGGAAGATGAAATTATCAGAGTTGTGCCTTCAACACCTAAGTCTTTTCATTGAATAATAAATATAAATATATTTTAACTACAACGAAACAAAACAAAACGAAACGAAATAGCACAAAACGAAACGAAATACAGCAAAAATCGCAGAATGAAAATAAATAATTGAATTTGACCTTATAAAAAATCTATGATTTCACCCCAAAAATAATGAGAATTAAAGATTTTGATGCAATAAGACCCCCCCCCCGCCGAAATTTTTATCATACCCTAATTTATTTGAATTTAACTTGACATAAATCCAATAAAATTTTACTTAGGCAAACATGTAACAAAAGGAAATTTGCATAGAATTACAAAACACGTAACCGAAATCTGACATTCTGACAAAAAGGCTACTCAAAAACTGCTTTCAAGACCATTGCAGACCCGAAAGACCAATGCCAACCCGAAATTTTTTGAAACATACTCACAAAAATGCCCAGAATTGTCCTCACATAAACAAACTGTAGTTATCCCTTAACCCTCCCAGATCACCTGAGAGGACAGCCATCACTCGTAACCAACGTAGGTGTACACATCCATACCTAGACCTGACAGCGAAATAAAGCGTAAACAATGCTTTCGTTCGATATGGGTGACTCGCGGCTTAACGTCAGCCCGGGAGCAAATATTTCATGTTCACGACAACAAATAAACCAATATTACGATGTGTAATGTTCTTTATATGTAAAAAAAATAGCCGAATGTAAACCTGCTCACACAAAAACAGTCCACAGAAAAACATTCTAACTACTGAATCATATCCCGATAATCCCACTTTTCGGACCCATATATATCAGTTCACACTGCCTTCCCTATATTGGTACATATAAAGACATTGAGCGGGACATTTAAGTTGAAATTGTAAAAAAAAAAAAAATATTTCGTTTCATTTCGTTTCGTTTTGCTGTATTTCGTTTCGTTTTGCGCTATTTCATTTCGTTTCGTTTTGTTTTGTTCCGTTCCGTTTCTTTTTCGTTTCGCACTTTACAGGTACCCCATATTTTATTTACAAATGAGCAAAATCCATTCTATAGATTTAACTGAAGACAAACTCTCGTGTAAGGGTTCCTGTAAACGGCATTTCTATAACATCAGACGACAAGAGTTACTATTTCCTTTCCGATTGTTCTGCTAGCATTCCTTTCATGTGCAGATGCGACAACTATTACGCTAACCACTTGAACATACTATTGATTTATGTGCCGAACTTATGATGTTAACAAAAGCTGTTCCATCAAGAAATAGAACATGTAAATGGTTGATTTATAGAAGTCAAAACTCGTTAACTTTGCTAGGAGGTTCAAAATGTAGACACCTGTTTTAATGAAATATTTTGTGTCTGTGATATAAACAAACCAATATACAATTATTTTGTTAAAACGACTTACATTTTGTACTTCAATTGTTGAATTATCGATAATATTAAATTAAAACTTTTCTTTGCAGCATTATGGGTTAAGGATTACATAAAAACAATTTGTTATTATACCTCTTTAGATAGATTGCGTGTTTATATAGTATATTAATGCCTCAATATATGAGCCAACCAATCATTGTCAAATTATCAAAATATAAAAATTCTGATTGTTGAAGGTCAGCTATTTGATAATTAATAGTTTTCTGTTAATTGATCTTCATGAATATGTTAAATGCAAGTTGTTCGAAGAATTTTGACCTTGTATCGCATGTTCTAACTAATGTACTTTAACACCGGAATGCCAAAAAAGGGCATAGTTACTCATATTGACAGGCTAACCCTTTAAGTCCATTCATGTATATTACAATATAACAATATCAAACAGGAAAAGAAAACTAAATAGTTTTGAGTGCTTAGGATGTATTAATCATTATAGTGATAGACATATCCTGCGTTTGTGTTTGAAGTACTTCCATATAGAAATGCACTTTAAAATAATTCTCATGGACAAAACATTTTATATATATCTCATCGAATCCATCGAAGGATGTTCATTCAGTACTTGTGATGATGTTATTTTTTTTTTTATGTACTTATAGTATTTTTTTCGCGTTCTAAAGAGGCTTCATTTTAGTGCTCTGTAAATGTAAAAACAAAAGAATCAATCTTTTTACTCAATCTTAAGTTTTGTGGAAAATTTGTCTTTAAACTGTTTGTTTATTGTCAATGTTGTCTTTCTCCATCATTACGGCTTTGGTTGATTGTGAGATTTCATTTGTCTGGTTCACTGAATGTTAATGATAAGTCTCTGAAGTGGAGTGTGAGTCTTTTGAAAATATCACGCATTCAATAGAGATGCATTTATTTCAATTTACATGTTGATAATTCAATAAAATGTACTAAACAGTAAAATTCTGAAAGGAATACAGGATATAATTTCAATGGTAATTTTATGAGCAAATCAATTGGTGCAATTAGTTGAGCAGGATTATTTCATTTCTGCCGGATAACCTGAGACTAGACCCAGTTTGAAGTGAGCTTTGTTTGGCTCAGTTTTTAGTTTTTTATGTTTAAAAAATATATTGGTCTTTTTTTTTTCTTTTTTTTTTTCCTTTCGGTCATTGTATTGTCGGTTCTTCTTCGAGGAATTATTTTGTTATTGAACCCTTGAAATTTTCCTCTTCTATTATTAAACAATTAGACTACATTGAAACTTTATAAGAATGTGTTATGAAAATATTAAACATAGGTAAAATTACGGTAAAGGGGAGATAACTCTAATTATCCTTTTGGTACATACTTTAATATTTATACTTTAACATATATATAATAATAGGGATACGTGGTATGATTGCCAATGGGACAAATATCCACCAGAGCACAACGGGCGTGTGTGGTCGCCACTTTATCAGCGTCTGGCTTTCAAAAATAGGGAAAACCCAATCTATGTAGAAAACTATAATAAGCTGGGAAACAGTTCAACCCAGAAAAAACTTACGGCCTGTTCTGTACTAAAACAGTAAAATAAAATCAAAAATGGATAAGAGCAACAAAATTCAACTGTTGATTTATAGATCCCTGATTTGGGATAGGCACGTACATAATAAAGCGGGGCTCAACATAGATGCGCACACTCAACCCTCCCTATACCCTTAGCCAATGGTGTTGCAGCAAAACATAATATTGATAAGTGTCCTCATTTATCGTTTAAATGGTTCTATGACGACATTTGACGTTTACTTTTCATAAATAATTTAGTCTGACCAAATGAAAACAATATTGCAATCATCATGTTCAGATTGTTTAGCCGAGTCTTAAGATACGACTTGTCTGTTATATTGCTCATCGTTTGTTTCAGATATATCAAGTCTTAATGTAATTTTCTTCTACGTGTATATGAACTTTTATGTCCTATTGATGTTTTAAGCAACAATTCCAGATAGGAAAGCAATGGAAAACAAGCAACTTCTAAACATTTGAAGGTCCCTATTATGTATTGGTTACCTAAACTACACCAAAAAAAAAACCCAGTAAAATATCTTTTCATCTCGACCTCAAGTAAGTGTTCTACAACTAATCTTTCAGTGCTTTTAACTAGTTCCTTAATTACTATCAAAGAACTAATCATTAACTTTTGTAATAAAATATATGAAAATAGTGGAATTTTTGGAGTGTAAAAAAATCTTTGGATATTTAAGATAAATTATGTGCTTTTGATGGTCCTTTTGGTTCTGTTGACAGTTTTGACTTTTCAACTCTTTAAACTACACTTCCAGACAATCTTATCAAGCTTTTCTTGTAAAAAAACTGAGATGCCAATGCAATTTTTTAATTTCAAGGGCCATAGACGTGGGCAAAAATTCAGTTGGAGCGAATCTCTAACTCAAACTGCAACTTTATACACCAAACATCAAACCAATATATTTAACCGTTACAGATAAAAATAAGCGAACAGACATACTATAGAACGGACTGAAATTTAAGCCAACGTGCTGGCTCTATTTCTAACTAGTCTTAATGTCTAAATTGTAGAATTTTAAATACAATCAGGGTTTGAAAAATACTTGATAGATTTGTAGTATGATTTAAGATGGGCGTACTGAAATTTTAGATGTTAACATTACCGACACCTAATTAAAAGGATCGTTTTGGGTGTAGAAAGAGATGATCGTGTTTGTGATATTTATAACTATATGAACAATCTATAGTTGATGCGTATCATTATCTATTAAAAATTAAAATTTCATTTTATATTTAAAGGAAAAAAGAGCCTTTACCACCTGAGCTTTCTTTACAACCTTATGTTGACAATATTATATATTTCCATCCTATTATTTGATTTTCAGTTTTTTTTTTTTTCTTATTTATCAATTTGATCGTCCTTATTATGTATATATGTATTGTTTTTAAAATTCAAAACACCTAAAGGCAGTTAATTAAAAAAACCCAAGGCAAACGTGGCAGAAGCTTAAGTTAAGATGAATATTGTGGAAGAATTGGTTTAATTATTTATTTCAGCTATTTCAAATTAAAAAAATGGGTGTACCTTAATGTTTCCGCTATCCAATCCTACCATTTTCAAAAGTTATTTCTAATTTATCTTAAATATGTTTCCTTTAAAATGAGCCTTAAATGAAAATTTTTATAGGCCCAGAAATAACTCAAAAAATAATTAAAGTAAATTCAACTTAGACTTATTTCTTGCATCAATTAAATTCTATAATAAACAAGAAATAATTGGATACTGTTACGAAGTCTCCCAAATAAAGCTCCCATAATTCGTCATTCCCATGGTCGCCTGACATTGGACCGAGTCCAGTACAAATTGGTTGGGTCAAGTAAAGTGATATGCATATGTGACCCCTAGGAGATTGACCTTGTATGTCATTCAAACATTCTTGAGTTGACGAACAGGAATATATATGGTTTAGGGGTGGGGATCTCGACCGTTTTCAAGTTCTCAAAAGGTGGGAGTTGATCCCCAGGGGACTCTCCCTTTATTTATTTGATTTGTTTTAATGTCCCATACAAGAATATATATGGTTTCGGGGTGGGGATCTCGACCGTTTGCAAATTTTTAAAAAGAAGAGGGGTGGGGTGACCCCCATGGACTAATCACCTATATTTTATTTTATTTGTTATATTGTCCCATACAAGAATATATATGGTGTAGGGGTGGGGATCTCAACCGTTTACAAGTTTTCAAACAGGAGGAGATGTGGTGACTCCCCAGGGGCTCCCCTATATTTAATTTGATTTGTTTTATTGTTCCATACAAGAATATGTATGGTTTAGGGGTGGGGATCCTGACCATTAACAAGTTCTCGAGCAGGAGGGGGTGGAGTTGACCCCTTGTGGACTCCCCCTATATTTCATTTTATTTGTTTTATTGTACCATACAAGACTATGTATGGTTTAGGGGTGGGGATCTCAACCGTTAACAAGTTCTTAACAGAAGGTGGGGTTGACCCCCAGGGACTCCCCCTATATTTCATTTGATTTGTTATATTGTCCCATACATGAATATATATGGTTTAGGGGTGGGGATCTCGACCATTTACAAGTTCTCAAACAGAAGGGGTGGGGGTGACACCTGGGACTCCCCCAAATTATTTTCATTTGATTTGTTTTATTGTCCCATAGTATATATATGGTTTAGGGGTTGGGATCGCGACCGTTTACAAGATAAAAACACATTTTCAAATTGAAGGGGATGGGATGACCCCAGGGGACTCACCCTATATTTTATTTGATTTTTTCTATTGTCCTGTTATCATTACTGAAGATCGTGTGTGTCTATCACTTACTGTTTTCAAGTAATAGTCATTTGAAAATTGAAAAAAATAAAATCCCATAGGGTTCTATAGTAAACCCCTCCCTTAATTAGGCCCCTCAAAACACCCCTAAATAGACCCCAATGCACAAACGAAAGATTGATAACTCCGCTAGACATGTTAGTCTAACATTTTATGAAACCCTAAGTAAATCTGACAAGCGCTCCGAGTTGTCTTCTAAGACGGTCCGAGTGGACTCGGTCCGACTTGTCTCGGGGACGAGTTGTCCACATTTCTTAAAACATCCCATCAACGTCGATTTTCGGATCTTTTTCATTCATGAAAACAACATTCATAAAAACAACAACTGCCAAGGTCAGTGATAAACGGGATAATATAATAAAAGAAAGGAATTTAAATGTGCATACATTTAAATGAAATAAATAAAATAATCACAATCTTCTTAAACGAAAAGAACATCATTATTAACAAAACTTACTTTAAAACATCAGAATACTTACCTTACGTTTCGTATAAGTTAAAATTACCGCCAACTGCCATACAATTGTTCTTTGACATCTTAGCCAAAAGCACATGGGATGATAAACTACGTACGGATTTCTATTGAGCACTACTTCCTATGTGCAACTTCAAAAGTTTTGGGTAGTTCGACGATCATTTAAGGTTTTTCTGGTCATATTTTTTGTTTTCCAGAATTGAAAGTATGAAAAAAGTGCCCAATTAGTTATTAATAACATATAAGCCAGCTAGATAATAACAATAGCACTTTTTACACCATTTAGTGAGAAGAACACAAATCGAGGGTGGTAGCATAAGGCAGCTTAACTGCCTAAAAATCATATACCCAAAGACTGGGTCTTGGTAATTCAAACTTCAAATGCAATACATATGTAAATTTTGTTTTTCATGGTAGCTGCCTCATTAACATATAGACAATATCTCTTTTTATTCGTAAGATATAACAGAAAGACATAGATATTTCAAGACAACACCAATATTGCGTCATCGGCAAATGCACTTTTAACTTCATTTGTCAAATATTGCAATTCAGCATATTTGCCTATATTATTTCCCCATTAAGCTTTGAATAACTAAATTAACCTTTTAATTTTATTCAATGTTAACAAACCCCTCTCGTCGAAAATCTATAGCTAATAAAGTCATCGAAGAAAACAGGCTTAAAGTTTTTGTACGTCAGACGTGCGTTTCGTCTACAAAAGACTCATCATTGACGCTCGAATATTTTTTTTTTCATTTTAAAGCCAAAAATAAAGTTCGAAGTTGAAGTACACTGTGTAACCGACATTCCAAAAGGTTTGCCAAATACAGGTTTGACACATCTCATGATCTAAATTGTGGTCCAGTAGTGTGGGTTCTACTCCTAGCTCTTTTGTTCACACATTGCAAAGACTGGGTTCCAACAGGAAGTTCTAGTATAATACTAATGCATTTCAACGAAGTAGAAAATAATGTAGTTCAGTGTCTCACAAAACTTAAAATGTGTATACCTACCCGTGATTATCGAAGTTATACATTCTGGAATTCTCTTTTTACTTGACTTTTTTTTCAAATATCGTTGATCTTAGCCTGGTTGGTTCTGTTCTGTTTCCAACCTTTTAAAAAAAAATCCTACTGTTTGAATTCTCAGTTCGAAAATTCGTTTAATCTAATCTGGTTGGATTCGGAAATTTGGTATTATTTTTAAGCTTTACAAAATCATTGGCGAACTATTTAAGAAAGCCTAGGGACACAAGAATGGGCATGAAAAATCAAACAGTAAAGAAATCAAGTCTGACATGAGAAAGAAAGAAATCGGGTCTGGCATTAGAAACAAAGAAATCGGGTTTGACGTTGAGAAACAAAGAAATCGGGTCTGACATGAGAAACGAAGAAATCGGGTCTGACATGAGAAACACAGAAATGTGATCTGACATGAGAAACAAAGAACTGTGGTCTGACATGAGAAATAAAGAAATCTAGTCTGACATGAGAAACAAAGGAATATGGTATAACATGAGAAACAAAGAAGTGTGCGCAATACTCTCTAAACTGAAAACTAGAAAATCGACATAAGAAACTCACAAAACCACGACAACAAAACAAAAACGACAAAAAGACAAATAACATTTTACAACAATACTTTGATCGTAGTGTTGTCTCTTTGACACATCCCCCGTTTCCATTCTCTATTCTACGTGTCAATTGAAGACTGAACAACACGAAGTCCACCAAACAAAACGAGTAAGTCTCATGTGTTGAGGAAAAGTAAGCAGATACGGCTCCACATACGTGCTAGCTAACAAGGTCACAGTCCACACAAAGGTATTTTACATCACCCGGAGACTTTATTCTGACTTCTAAAGGCGCCTAATTACGGGAAAGCAGTAAATACGATGTGTTAAGACTTCATTTTGACCTGGCCGCTGATCGGACTCACGACCTCTCGAACTCAAAAAGAGCAAGTACAAGAGCCAACAACCGAGCCGGTTACCAAATTAAGAATGCTGATATATAAAAATATATTCAACATTGAAATCAGTAGGCTGATATCACAGAAATGATTAAATATAGCATAATTGTAGTAAATCTCTTTTTACACAATAATCACAAACAATTTCAATCTGAATTCCTGATTTACACTAATGAATCAAACTTTTTACTGACAACATTGTTTGTTCCCTCTTCCACAGCTGTTACAACAATTTCAGTGCTTTCATAAGTGATTCTGACATTAATAGGCCTGTTTTTACCTTTTTTTGTGTCAGAAATATTCAAATGGAGGGAACCCAATTTTTTTACATTGTCCCCTCGTCCGCTATATGTGTATTTCGGATTAGAGTCAGGTGAAACGAAGATATCAATATTTGCAGTATCGTCATTAGAACACGTTGGAAGAAATTGACGTTCAAAGCAACTTTTGCCTAAAATTATTGTATCTCCTTTCTTCACAATTGGTTGGAAGATGTCCGTACACATTTCCCTGTCATCATACACTTGCCGCAATTCTGGTGGATGTGTTTGTGCGTCAAAGGGAAAATTACAGGCAATTCCATAAGTTCTTGCGCAAATTCTTTCGGGTATCACTTCTGGAGTATGACCAAAAATGACTGCGCCTTTTAAAACGGATGACACGGCGTCATGAGGACGCAAAACATTAATTTCCGTAAACTCCGATTTAATCCGTTGGTATAATAGTTCAGAATCGGAAAAACCACCAACCATAAGTATCGTTCTAATGTGTTGAAGTTCTGGTTTTTGGAGCAGTTCTCTTACATGTACAATAATTGCATTGAAAGTTTTACTAAACAGATTTTCCAATACATCCATCGGAAATATTAACTTATCTCTTGTTCTAGTAATACCTAATGAAGACTGAAATTCTCTTCCTGTAGTCTCCTTATATTTATCAAATAAATCTCTCGGAAACAAAAGTCGTGTGGTGTCTTCGTTATTTGAACCAATGATTTTCTTACGGCTTTCAAACATTCGAAGTATATCAAGACAATCACGCATATTGGATTTTTCAAATTCGCACCACACATCTTTGCCGAAAATTTTTCTTACAATATTCAAAAACTGTATATCTACTTCTGCTCCACCCCACGGTCCTCCAGATGGTGGACACAGTTCAATTAGCTGATCCTTTGTCTGAACTTCATATGCTGTGATGTCAACTGTGCCTCCTAAAATAAAAATAAAAAGTTCATTAGACAAGATAGCTATATTTTTTCAATCATACACCACTTATTTTAAGTGTTTTTAGGGTTTAAGTTCATTATGTGATTTCGATCAATAAAAAAAATGGGAAGTCGAAATAAAAAAAGAATTTGATACTAGAGTTACCCTTTCAGAACGCTCAAAATATGTATTGTAGATGCGATTATTGTAATTGTAATTCATAGCCATAAGAAGACGTGGTATGAGTGCCAATGAGACAACTCTCCATCCAAGTCAAAATTTATAAAAGTAAACCATTATTTCATATTCACTACAAAATCTAAAATTAAAACGGGAAAATACCACTAAGAATTTATTGTTAAAATAACTAAGTAACACTTCATTCGTATTTGTTCATATCGATATAGTTTAATCTTTAACTGAACTGACATTGAAAATAAGGTTAAAAGTTTCATAGATACAATTTTGTTTTCTCATGTTTAACGTTCACACTCTGACCTCCACAATCTAGAACAAGAAACTGGTGTCCAGAATCAAATGTTGACAAACAAGCATTGTTTCCGACAATCTTTTTCTGTAACGTTATATCTTTACAGTAGATCGCAGCTGCTTCGGGTTCATAAGCCAATGATAATAAATCGTCTTCAATTCCTGCCTGAAAATGACGGAATCAGAATTAAAAGTAATCTAACATACAACTGAAGACAATTATAATCCTGGCAAATAAATTGTAGGCATCTGAGAGGAGAGTATGATAATTCTGCATACCTACATGTAATATAATGATTAACTATAATTCAAATCTCTTTTGTCTCAACATACTTAGCATCAATTTCAGTCAGCGTTTGTATCCAATCCTTTATTAAGTTCAATGAGGAAAACAATTGCCTTTGATTTTTTCAAGTAAAAGACATTATTTACATAGATAACAAAAGGACAAAAGATAATGTCAGCTTCGTTTCATTTTTCATGATAAGCCTTGTATAAAGTCTGAATTCGAACCAATTATTATTTTTAAAACTTTAAGAGATTAAACCAGATCGGAAAAGACAGTAAGTACAGTAGAGAAACCTGAAACAAAAGTGTGTACCATTTATTCGATTAGCTGCATGTCTCACGAACTTTTATCTTCGTCGCAGTAGGTAACAGCATGGTTAAAGGTCTATGATCTATATGAACGGTTTAAACTGATTAGAACAGTTTAAGTCTACTGTAAGGTCCAGTTTGTTTAATACTTAGTTTGTATAATTTAAACATGACTGACCGCCTTTTTGGTCAACAGTTAAATCTGATTGGGCCAGAAAACTGCCACACCCAGTGTGTATAATACTAACTGAATTGACCCTTGTCTCATTAACTGTTTAACCTGACTGGACTAGATAGCAGATACACTACGTACCGAGTGTGTATGATGCCTAAATCATGAACTGTATAGCTTAGTCAGACTATATATGTGGTACAGTCAGGACCGAGTGTGTATAACATTTACCTGATTTGCTGCCTATCTCATGAACTGTTTTGCCTGATCAGACCATACAACTGGTACAGTCAGGACCAAGTGTTCATTATATTTACCTGATTGGCTGCCTGTCTCATGAACTGTTTAGCCTGATCGGACCAGATAGCTGGAACAGTCAAAACCCAGTGTATGTCTTTCAGCTCAACAAAATTCACATTTTCATGCAAAATTTTAAGGAAATCATTTCTTAAGAACCTAAGACATTCTGAAACGACCATTAATGATTGTAGTTTTTGACCATTGACATCGTTCATCATCCGTCTTCGTGAAATTTTTCGTCTTACCTTAAACAGACAATTTCCTTATAATTCACATTTTTATATTGAAGATAATGATAATGAGATGATGATGAGAGGGTGCAGAATGCATTATGACGACATGTTTTTGGTACCTTTGTTTGCAATAATGTTATTGTTGTTCATACTATTAGGTTTTTACGCAGAAAAAAATTTATAAATTGAGGATAACTAAAAGAAAAGCAAGTGTTGTGTTTGCTAAGAATATGCCAAAAGGAACACTAACGTAAAAAAAAGGAAAATTAACAATAGGGAACGAAAAATCGTCCCTTTTGATGTAATTTGTTGTATGGAGTTTTCCGTGTAAAACTGAAATATCTAAAATTAGGGAAGGACAGATGTTACCGTTTATATTTGATTTATTTAAAGTAAGTTCCTTTGGGTAAATTTCGGCAGTATTTTTAGAAAATTCTTCGTTATTTAACGAAAAAGTATCATCAAGGCAACGGTAAGTGTTGCGATTGTAAATGCAATTTAGACGGGTCTTTACTGATTTTGGTCATTAACTGTGATTCAGTAAAAGAAAAGTCTGCTATTAAAAGAGCGCAATTGGTACTTTGGGAATACCTACAAACTGCCGATAAATTCTATTGCCGACACGTACATAAATATCATCAAAGAGAAAATTAACAGCTTCAGTCATCTCATCACACTTCCAGTAAGAATATCTAGCATATTTACCATTCTTATTAGATTGTTTGAAAGTGTAGTGTAAATAGTTGAAAAGTCAAAACTGTCAGCACAAAAAAAGGACCATAAAAAACACGTAATTGATCTACACTTGAACATCCAAAGAATATTTTACACTCCAAAAATAGTTAATTGCACTATTTTCATATGTTTTATTACAAAAGTGGATGATAAGTTCTTTGATAGTAGTTATGGAACTAGTTGAAAGCGGTGAAAGATTAGTTGTAGAACACTTAATAGGGGCCGAGATGAAACGATATTTTACATGGGGTTTTTTGTGTAGTATAGTTAACCAATACACAGTAGGGACCTTCGAATATTCAGAAGAGGTCTTAAGCTGTGATGTGGTTATGATACGATTGTTTACTATATGATTTTCTGTGGAGCGCACGGACTTGAATGTGAAAGAATTAAAAACGTTATTCTTAAGAACTTCCGTGTAGTATTTACGGCATACCACCACCACATTGGTGGCTGCTTTATCGGCCGGTACAATCACAAAGCGCTTATTTTCATTCAGATACAATTTAAGGTCCTACAATAAATTAATTGCATTCCTGGAAAAGAATTTGCTCATCAAATCAAAATCTAGACCGATTTCTGCTACTAGTATTTTTCGATCCAAGATTGCTAATATCTCTACACTTCCTTAAGCAGTTTTTTTTTATCAGAAATTGAAAGACTAAATGTTATAGAATCATTAATATTGTGTGGTCATTTACATATGTTGAATGTTTAATTGTGTCCTACCTGGCTAGTTTCATCAGAAAACAAAGTCATCTTGAATCTTTTAAAATATTTCCATCCAGAGGCTTTGTTGTCGTCAACCAATTCTGCATATTTACTTTCTGCATTATACCCAAAGCTGTGAAACTTGTTCTCATGAGTGAATAAAACTACTGTTGGTGTTTTGTCTGTAACTAATCCGTCTCCAGATTTCCAGCCTCCTTTTGTCTTAATGTCAGAGCGATTTTCTTTAAAATCATGCCGTACTGAATATGCCCATCCTGAATACGTTGTTCCAAAATCTAAGGCGACAACTATCAATGCATTTTCTTTTGGGGAGTTTAAGTTGGCCATGTGAAACACCATATGCTTTAAAACTTGAAAATGAAAAGATAAAAAAAATATAATTTTGAATAAATAAATGAACAAACGAACGAACGAACGAACGAATGAATGATGCATACTTTATTTGCAAGAAGCACATACATGCTATGGCAAACGACGATATAAACAATAAATGTGAAACAAAAGACAGTAGAGAACCGTAGTAACAGAGTTTACAATAATATTATAACAATATATGTGATCTTATTTTCCAAGCTGCATTTAAATGTATAATTGCATAGTTTTATTTTCAGACTGTAATAAATTATCTTACTTGTACCTATTTGGCCATATATAGTAACAATAAGGTTACAATTCTATTCGCACAGATCTATATGCTGGACCTTTTAAAAATCAACTGTAGTTGCTTGTATCCTAGTCTTTACATGTAGGTCTCTGGATGATAGTTAACTCATTGGCAATTTTTTCGCTTATTTTATATATATTCGGTACGGTCAACAGTGTTGTTTATATACACAGTAGGTCTTTAAAGGATACTTTATAGAGATATTATCTTTTTCAGGGCCGTAACTAGGGATCGGAAACAGACGAGGCAGGGGTTTGGGGGCCGCCGACTGAGGCCCGATTAGGTTAATAGGGGGTCCACGGAACGAAGGCCCCCGGCCGAAAATTGTGATATTAAGGTCCGAAATAAAACTTGTTACATCCTTTTTTGTCGTTTCATATTTACCGTATGACGACCTGCATAAGGCTACCAAAGCCGGCTGACAGATACTTGCGTCGAATTTTGTACCACCAAACATGTATCCATTTACAGTAGGATACATGTCTGATAGTAGAAAAAGAGGGACAACTGTGTGTGGTCAACGCTTCATTAAAAATAACATACACTTTAATAACACTTTAATAAAGCCCAAAGAGTAAACATAAGTCATGATAGTCACTGTATGTGAATGCTAGTTCGACCTTTCTTGTGCCAATACGATCCTATCGTTTGAGAACAGCTTCTGCTTTCACTTGCCCGACATTGTCCGTGCGATGGACGTGAAGCATGACTAAACCACATAATCTGTCCTCGGACATTGTTGACCAGCAACATGACTTTAAACTTCGAAGGGCAAAACGATCTCTCACATGAGCAAGAACCGACGAGCAATGTCAATAGTAACTTCTCCTGGGAAACCAAAATCTCAGACTCTGACGGTCGAACTTGTTCAAGAGACTTTTTCGCGAGAAATAAATAACTGCAGAACCGAATGCCGGTTTACTGGCGATGGTAATCAGACAGAGAGTTCGATACCTAGCGTATAGTTTACATAAAAGTACAGAAGCTGCACGTCAACATTAATTACTATTCGAAGTATGCATTACTTAATTCTTGACATGAAAATGCAAGGATGTGTTCTACCCCTGCATGTCTAGCTTTCTTCATTTTCTTTTTTTTTTCTTATCATTATTTTTTTTTGCCAGAAAATCAGACGAGGCAATTGCCTAGTCTGCCTCATCGGTAGTTACGGCCCTGTTTTTACGGGGAGTGCAAGGAGTTTTATACATTCGTTTTTTTTTTAATAAACTTCCGATAGAAGTTACCTGACATTAACTTTTTTCAGTGAACAAGATAGCATTTTTGTTTCTCTAGTAAATCATGTGAGTTATTATTGCATGTGCACTTAATACATCTTCGTCTTGCAAAAGTAAACTAACAGTGATTGCACTTCCATGGTTCGGTGATTAACGGTTACAATAAAATAAAATTACGAGAAGAAGAAGGGGGAAGGATTCTCCCTCAAGTAGAATTTTAAAAGATGTACCAGTATACTTTTATTTATTCTAGTTATACGTCTTGACTAAATAGTTGATCATGGTCCAATTTACCTTCGAATCGAATAAAGTTTTATATAAAGCGATTTTATTGTTTTGTGCAGTGGCATATTGTTATATACAATGAAGTTGTAATTTATATATACCATTTCCATAAATGAAGAATATTCCTGGCTATTGTTCAAAAAGTTGACATTTATACAAATAAAATAATAAAATCATGACAGAGGAGACAGTTCTATTGTGTAAATCTTACAGTTATTATAGGAATTTGTCTTGTTTACATGTATCTAAATTCAAAATCCAATTGTGTATGATAAAATATAAGTGCAATAAAAAGATAGCGTAAATATATGACTGCTCCGGTGGGCGAAGGGGACTTTTTGTCTGAAATTCTGCTATTGAAGCTTGAAATCACACTTTTCCGTGGATAATGTGTCAGCAACTTTGTATCATGACTTTGGAAACAGGAGAGTGATCGATGTCGGTAACAATTTACATCATGCTTTGAAAAAAAGAGAGTATGTCGGTTAAAACGGTTATAAAACTCCTGCTATTTTTATGCAATGTCTGTCTTTTGTATCCGGACTTGTGGTTTTAAAATAATTCCCAAAATCATGTCCACAATAATTTACTTTGGCTTTCGTATAATTGTTTTATTTGTAATTGCGTAGTATATTAATTCCATGAGACATGTGTTTTGTTTTTTTTTATTATTTGAGATCTTTTGAAATAGATGAATTCGATTTTAATGAAAATGAAAATACACTTCATACATATACATTTGTTTTGTATGTGGCGCTTTTCTAAATTTAACTTCAACGGGAATGCTTAAACCAATAATATTGAGAGTCAACAAGTATATAAATACTTGAATACTTGAGAAGCTATGTGACCAGAAATGACCATAAAGAAATTATTCCACATAAGGTCAAATATTCTTACCTTTTGTGAAAATCTCATCACACACCTTTTTAAATTTGAATTAGCTTTATATATACTTCCTTGAAAATCACGAATGAAGTGTAAGTATATAAATAGGTTGTCACTTTAACAACTTACTATACGGTAAAGATTTTTGCTTATGTTCTAATGCAGTACGGTTACTTTGATTTGCTTGCGTCTAACGAGTATGGGTGTTATAAGTATATATATATATTTATGAACAAAAGAAACTACCCCTTTACAACGGGGGCACTTGCAGGCGGGGTACCTTCAAATGCTTCTAAGAGCATATACAATGAATAATCACGGGTGAATTATGTACAATGAAATAAAATACACATAAGACAATATCATAGTTAAAAATTGATACCCTTTGAAACAAGTCACCTTTCTTGAAAGACATAACAGCATTATATATTAAGAAAAAATTTCAACATTTAGAGATCACATCAATAAAAATGGACACGCAAATCAAAGTAAGCTTAATTTTCTAAAATTGAAGACCTAGCTGTAAGTGTACATTTCACTCAACATCTTTTTACTAAAAGACTAAGTGTCAACATGTTTACAAACATTTGGATCAACATGATAAAAATATTCACCTAGCAGTATGTTTATTTTTTCGTAGGACGGTAACTCTGTGAAGCAATTGTCGGGGAAGTTAGTACTTAGGTACTCATTTATATCTGCAAAATACTTGTTTCGTATAGGGGAATATTCAGAACATTCGAGTACGAAGTGTTCCACGGACTCCTCAGATTTACACGAACACATTTGACAAATGGGAATCTCGCTCATATTCATTCTATTCAAAACTTGATTCATGGGTAAACAATTTGTTCGTGCTAACAATTTTAACCGTGTAGACTTAAAATCGAGCAAGTTTGACAAATAAGGCTGTCTACCAGGCGCAAGGTTAAATTTGGAGAACGCATTTAGACTGCTTTTATTTCTTATAACTTGAAATTTTCTTTTACGAACAAACTTTCCAAAAAACTGTTCGAAATATTCAAGTTAACATTTGAATTATAAAAATGATCAAGACCAACCGTATTGAACAAGTTTTCTATATACTGGGGATATCCCCATCTTCGATCCCTTTAGCTCGTTAAATATGATTCGACAAAATCTATTCTTATCTAGGTCATGAATTCTAGCAAAAAAAGACACCATTTGTCTATCAAGGAAATCATTTATTGGTTCCCAACCTAAATCTACGAAAAGAGCCGATTTAGGGATATTCATATTAGTACTGAAAATATATTTCGCCGATTTATATTGCCAAGTTTCAAGAATTTGTATGCTTGAAGCTGAAGACGGCAGCCATACAGCACAACCGCTCGCGATAGACAGCCGTATTACCGAGTTCCAAAGGGCATCTCCAAAGAATATACGATTGAAAGATCCGTGCTCATTTAGCAACTTAGTCATATAATTGAGCTTGCGCTCGAAGTTATCTTTTAAGTAACAATTTATATGGTAGGCGAAAGTCAATGAACGGGTAAAATAAACTCCGAGATATTTGTATTCATTGGTTTCATCAAGGAGGAGATTACCTAATTGCCATTTCTTATCTTTATCTAAACGCTTACCTATTATCATAACCTTGGATTTGTTTTAGTTAAATTTTAGATTCCACTTTGAAGCAAAAGTAGCTGTTATATCAAGCAGACGATGTAGTTCCTCCTCTGACTTCCCGATAAAGACTACATCATCAGCAAATAAAAGGTAATTCACTAGTTGTGAGGATAGTTCGGCACCAACATTGCTGGCTTCGAGCATACTTACAAGATCATTCATCAGAACAGAGAAAAGAGCCGGAGACAAGACACAACCTTGTTTTAAGCCAAATTCTTGATCAATGAAACCTGTTTCACAATCATCAAACAAAACTTTTTGATACATTACTGTAAAGTGATTTGAGCAGTTTCCAACACTTACCTTGAATGCCGGTTTTCCACAATAAGTAGAAAAGGCCATCACGCCAGACTCTGTCGAAAGCTTTTGATAGGTCTAGAAAAGTAAGAAATGTTTTATATTTTTTAGCTTTTCGAATAGAATAAATATATTGTAGAGTAAAAATATGATCCTCTGTTCTTCTGTATTTTCTAAATGCCCCTTGAACCTCGCCTGAAATATTATTTTCTTCTAAGTAGGTCATTACAGTTTCCTCAAATTTTTTCGAATATACCTTGTATACACATTAGACGTTAAAATAATCTCCCTATAGTTATCAATATCATAGACAGACCCAGCTTTGAGTATGGGTTTGATGATGCCATTTTGCCAATCATTAGTCACAGCTTCGATGTTAGTAATCATAGTGAAGAGATGAACAAGTGAATCAGCAAGCGCATCGCCACCAAACTTTAAAAATTCATTGGAAATCTCATCGATACCTCTCGATTTGCGCGACTGAAGGTTTCTTATAATTTTATCTATCTTCTATCTATCAATTTTTACTGAGATAGGCGAGTCAGGAAAAACTTCATTTTTTTCTATACTCGAGAGAAATTCCTTAACCTCATTTTGCATATTACATTTAAAAGAAGAACCTCTACCGAAAGAGTTAAATGGTTACTCAAAAAACTGCCATGGTTCATTAGACCTTTTTCTCATTTGATGGATCAGTGATCAAGGTTAAAGTTACGTGAAGAGGTCCGTTTTCACATAATATGATTAAAAGGTCTACTATATGTGGTGTATTGAATGATTGTTAGGTGAACATGTCAGTTGCCAGGTATCATCTGACCTTGACCCTATCATGGCTCATAGGGCAATGTTACGTTTTTGTTTTTTGGTCTATTTTTTCGAATACTATAAGCAATAGGTCAACTATATTCAGTTCATTGAATGATTGTAAGGTGAACATGTCTGTCTGTCTGCCAGGTATCAACTCACCTTAATCTTATTTTCATGCTTCATTGGTCGATGTTAAGTTTCTGTGTTTTTGTCTGTTTTTCCAATACTATAGCAATAGGTCAACTATATTTGTTGTTTGAAATAATGGTTAGGTATTCATGTATGTCTGGTAGAATTCATCTGACCTTGACCTCATTTTCATGGTTAATTTTGCAATGTTTTTTTTTAATGGTTTGGACTGGGTTTTTTTTTATCATTTAAGCAATAGTTCATCAACTATATTTGGTGTATGGAATAATTGAAAGGTGTACATGTCTCTCTGACAGGATTTATCTGACATTGACTTAATTGTCATGGAACTTTGAAAACATTTAGTTTATGTGATACTTGTAGTTAAACCTTTAAAACAGACACAACATTTCAGCGTGTGGACTCTTCTTTTTATATGTTATGAATTTTCAAATAATTAACCTCGATCATCGGTGAAGAGACATGTGTTGTCGAAAAGCACATCTGGTGCAATTTAATAGGTACCATAAATGTTAAAAGAGTTGTTCTGATTTCAGTTTAGAAACCTGATGTTTGGGTACAAATGGTAACCAACCAACATGTATTTCCTGATCTCTTATGATCAAGATAATATATACACTTTTGTTTGGAAGAGAGGAAATGTGAATGTCAAAAGCATAAGAAGGAAGATCAAATTCAAAACAATAACGAATAGACAAACATTCGTCTCTTAAATTAAAATGTCTGATTTCCTTGATTGCCCGACATGTTATTAGTGACGTCTAAACATTTTGCGTTTGTCACATACGCAACGTGTTGTCCGTATGGTATGGTGCTAGGAAATTGACAAAAATAAAATATAAATTCTTGAATTTAGATACATGTATCGCTATTTTTTAAAATTGGCAAAATGTTTTTGGCAAACATTAGCGAAAAAAAGTAGCCTTACTTAGTGGCTTTTTGTTGTTGGGATGTACAAGTACCCTTCCACGTCCACTTTGTGTTTTTGTAAGATGTATTTCTATTCGTATCCATCTGATGATTTAAGCCTTTTAAAACTGATTTTTATAGTTTGATCTTATGTTGTACTGTTACACCACTCTCCTGGGCAAGGGGGATGGTTGGGCGCCCGCTTACAAGTTTAACCCAGCCACATTATATGTGCTTGTCCCAATTCAGGAGCCTGTAATTCAGTGTTTGCTGTTATGTTACATATTTGTTTATCGTTTTTTATGTTGTACATAAATCAGTCCGTTAGTTTTTTGTTCCAACTGGTTTACAGTTGTCATTAGGGGGCCTTTTATAGCTGACTATGCGGTATTGGTTTGCTCATTGTTGAAGGCCGTACGGTGACCTATGGTTGTTAATTTCTGTGTCATTTGGTCCCTTGTGGAGAATTGTCTCATTGGCAATCATACCACATCTTCTTTTTTTTATATACTGTCATGTCTCATGTTTCACATTCATTTAGTTTTCCGGAAAGATATCGGACTTGTTTTTTTGTATTACAATTTTCATGTCACGATATATTTCTCTTGGACAATCCTTCTGATGCCACGATGTAAGTCACTTATACTTACCTTTTTTATACATGCATAGCGTAAACATATTAACTTTGATGGAATACAATTGTTTTTATAAGTTTTTGACGATGCAAACAATTTTTGATAACTGCATGTGAATTTTAGTCACTGTAGACAAGTGTGAATCGATAAAATGTTTTTATTAAAACGTTTAAACCCGCTTCAATTGTTTGCACCTGTCCTAAGTCAGGAATCTGATGTTCAGTAGTTGTCGTTTGTTGATGTGGTTCATAAGTTTTTCTCGATTCTCGTTTTTTATATAGATTAGACCGTTGGTTTTCCCGTTTGAATAGTTTTACACTAGTAATTTTTGGGGCCCTTTATAGCTTGTTGTTCGATGTTAGCCAAGGCTCCGTGTTGAAGACCGTACTTTGACCTATAATGGTTTACTTTTATAAATTTTGACTTGGATGGAGAGTTGTCTCATTGGCACTCATACCACATCTTCTTATATCTTTTTAAGTTGGAATATGGTCAGAAACGTCGCTGTAGGTAAACTTGATAATAGATAAATTGCTTTTTAGCGAATAATTAGATACTTTGGATTTATCAATTTTGTGTACTGAATTCTTATTATGAATTAGATGTGTCCATTAGATGTACAT